TATATATATTTATTTATTTATTTATAATCAATATATAATGATTTTGGGCCTAATTAAAAAAATATTTTGTGTTTGCAGAGAAGCAATATGTTATCCGTATTGGAAATGTTGAATGAACCAAATGTCGATCCGAAAATTCGAAAATCTGCATTAGTACAAATTAGTGTGATGCTTTCAGACACTTCTTTACATAAATTGTTTATTAATCAAGGTGGGCTGTCTTTGATTTTGGATATTTTTAATAAATCACTGGTAAGTTGATAAAAAACTGTACTTGATAAAAAAAATATTGCAGGCTATTCTGTGATTTAAATACATTAAATGTTTTAAATATGTTAAATATTATTTTTAGGTAGAAAAGAATTATGTAAATTATCCAGATTCTGTGATTCCGATAATCAGCATACTAAAACTACTCGCATTTTTTGAATGTACCATACGACATGAGTTATCTCTCAATACTGATGTTTTTTTTAACATTATAAGAAGTATATATATTTTATCATGATGTTTTATTCCTTATATTTGTTCAAATTTAATTTAAAGATATGTATCTAGTAAAATTCCAATGATATTTTAATATAAAACTTTACGTTTTTAGGTCTCTTTTTGTTTCCAAACAACGAATGTGTGAAATCCGATGGCGCGCAACTATTGTGTTTACTACTTTATAATGAATATATTATAAGAGTTAGTGAAAGAGATATAGAAAATAATATTGCGTCACATATCTCGTTACCATATATTGTTGTGACAAACATGAAACTACCATTTGTATGCAAATCTCATTGGAAGACGAGTATACATAGGCGATCTGATATGTCATGTAAGTAATTATACTTATAAAACATTTTTTAAGTACAAAATTATAATAATTATATATAATAATTATTATAACTGAAACTATATTACTAACCTTGCATGATTTTGAGTTATAAAACTAAAAAATAAATACCTTATTACTTTATAATTTATAGTACTTCATGGCAGCAATCCAGTAGTCTTGACTTTCATTAGACAATATTGGGCCTGGGAATGGAACAGTGGCGCAAACATGTTATGGAAATGTTTAGATGATTTAAAGGATTCCGAAATTTCACAGAAACTGATGATTCTTGAAAACGATCTTCTTTCTTTACGATATAGTTTTCCTCAATACTGTTGTCAACAGCAACTTTATAATATTCAAAATTCTACTACACATTATAGCGTTATATGTGCGTTAGATTATCTTACAATGTAAGCTATTATTAAATTATTAAGTTAATAATTATTATTAATGCTATTTTTATTACAAATATATATATATATATTACAGTATATTATTCATTATAATTATTTAAAATTTTGCAGGTATTTAAAATTTTACAAAGTACTTAATACTCAACGAACTGAAGAAAAAGATATCGAGTCACTTCCATGGGAACAAACATTCGAACGATTTTTATTATCACATCCCACAAATAAAGAGGACTGTGACTTATTTGTGGACGTTCTAATTTTTCTGCAATTATATTTAAATGTTGCAAAACGAGGTAAAATGGCTTGGATAATGACGCATTGAGAGATCTTTTTTTTTTTAAATATGAATTATATTAATATAATTCTTTTTTCTAATTCTCAGAAAAAGGTTCATGGATCAGTAGAATTATGAAAAACATGACGAGATCACTGGCAGATTTATTTAAAAATTTAGAAGTTGACAATCAGAATGTACATCAATCCACACTCAAATTAGTACGCACATGTTCAGCGATTGAAAAAACGCAAAAATTGAACGACGAACCTAAAAACACCTGGATTCGATTTGTAGAATTCGTTGTTTCGACATTATGTTTTGGAGATCAGCAGCATTTCTACAATCTCGGTATTAATATTTCGTTTAGATATATTACATCTAAATTTTTAATGATGCTTTTATTTTATAGTGATATTTTATAAAGCTTAATGTTATAAACGTGCTTTTTTTTCTTTTTTACAGCATATCTTGATTGGTTGCTAACATGTTTGACGTATTTGATTGGGCAGTGCGAATGGGGAAATCATAAGAATCTATTATTGTCGCTTTGCAATACGCTTATTGAGCCGATCGTGTCTTTTCATGGTGCTGGTGCTGTCAGTTTTATGGGTTTATCAATAACCAGAAATTCAATAATATGTCTTAATCATTTATTGCATCAAATGCAAGTCAATTTTAATAAAAATGTGAGTATTTTCTATTTTATAATGTTGATTTGATATAGTTGTTTTGAAAATTATATGTTACATACGAGTTATTATTTATTATTGCGAATTATAAATCATTTTTATATTCGTTTTCATGTTAATCATTAATGACAATGTAAGCGAATAATACGATTATCATTTTAGTCATGGATAGTATTTTGGTGCGAAGAAGGCCGTTCGTTAAATTGGCTACCCATGTTATGGCAAAATAGAGATCCTTTGGTACGCGCTTCGGCTTTACAATTATTGGCAGGTTTGATGAACACAGTACATACTGCATCGCAACTCTTCAACGCAATTGCCATGGCACCGAGTGATTTGTGTCACACATTGCTCCAGTGCATCACAAGCAGAGATGAATCTTGTTTAGTGAGAGAACAAGCGTGTATTGCGTTTTGTAACTTGCTCAAAAATTGCAACTCTATGACTTTTCAATGTGTAAGTGCGAAAATGATAAGAAGGCATTAGTATTAAATTTAAAAAATGTCTATCTTGAAATAATATCACACAAAGCATATTCGTATTTTAATATTATATAAAATATTACATTTTTTACATTTCTGAAATAATTATATATATGTAAGGATAATCTTTTTCAACAGGACGATTCTTTACAACCACAAGCTATTCTGATGCATATCGAACAACGCAATGTATATCATGAAATCAGTATACTATGTTCCAATATCTATATGTTGACTACTTTAGACGCGGAACAATCAGAATGTCAAGAAAACGATAGCAAAACAATAATTCCGCAAAGTTTGCAATCTAGTTGCATTTCATTAGTACCACGCACCGTATCGCACTTATACAATTGTCAAAATGAGTTACAACTCTGTAATTATATTATTTAATTGTATACTTTAAAAAGTTATTGTATATAATTTTATTTTTATTTAATTTTTGTTTTCCTAGTTTCCGGCAGGGTTTCAGAAATAACGGATGTGGACAATTTTATGGAATCAATAGCAACGCCTTCACTTATTACAGCTGCTTGTAATTTATTGAACAATTTAATATTCATTGGACAACATGAGGTGATACGACAAATTTACGAATATTCCATCGATAAGTATTTACTTGGGTATG